GCTTTTCAGACCGATGAGCTTTGTAAAAATCGACACGTTTCAGAAAGGCGGGGCATAGAAGAGAAACAATAATGTACAGTATGTGGAAAATAATGTGTTTTTTGAACCTTAAACCACATAAACACATTTCATTACACCAAATACACAAAGTAATGTTCTTTTTAGTAACATCATATGACCCCTTTAAGGTTTAGTGTGTCCAAAGCCATAAATGAACAGAAACCTGGCTATATATGGATTATCAATTTATAATTTACCATAAAACTAATTATGGCCCAAGAACGAGTCATATGCCCCTTTCACACAAACAGTCTTTACTGATAAATCACTGTTAAGAGATTATGTGTGAACGGGACCTTTTCAAAAAAAGTTGTAACATTACCGGTAATGTGCTCTATGTGAATGTGATGACTGAGTGATATCTGTTAGACAAGCCTGACCTCTTTATGCAGCCTATTTTTCGCATAAAAATGGATTTTTTTGGATTATCCGCGCCTGCTCCAGCATACAGCTATAAAGGTTTAGGCTCTCGTCTCTGCAGAGTGCGCGCACCAGGGTGCGATTAAAACATGCTTAAATTAGACGCAAGCAGAGATGAAATCAAGACCGGCTGTGCTTCAAAACCTTCTGAGCTGTCTAAGCAGCAGGCAGCGAGGTTTTGAGCCACACAAGACGTCCATACAAATCCACAGCCTGATGCTGATAACAGTGGTCTGCTAGTGGGATAGTTATTGTATCAGCATCAGTCATCATTACTATTCATTATAAACGGACACAGTATTTATTTATTTTTTGATAATAATTCTCGGTGAGCTACTCAAGTTGTCAAATTCCGGTGTGACTAACGCTTTTAAAAACAGACTAGCCTTAAAAATCTCAGAGTGAAGTCTTACGGGAAAGGATAAAGACTGCCAATCGCATGCACATATTTGTTCCAGTTGTATTTTTAAAGGTATCCAAAATTGAAAATAGAGCTTACCGTGTGAAAGTATCCTTTAGCTGTCTGCCGGTTAGAGCTGCATGACATTGTACTCCATTCCATTAGCCCCGCCTCTAATTTAAATACGGCCCGCCCCGTACACTCCACAAATAAATCACTTCAAGCTACAGTCCAAGAAGCCAGTCCATCTCCAAAACCATAACTGCCTCCGTGGGGTGCATTTTAGATATCTTTCAAAGTGTGCTTACAATAAAAGAAAAAATACAATAGGTATTTGTGTGTGTATATTTATTTATTATTTTATTTAGTCATTTAGCAGACGCTTTTATCCAAAGCGACATACAAATGAGGACAATATATATATATTAATATAGGTATATATCATAGACTTGTGTGTGTGTATATATATATATATATATATATATATATATATAAATTAATGAAATAGTTTTAGATTGGCTAAGAAAGTAAAAAGACTTTAAGATTTTATTAATGTTACTACTATATACATATTTTTCTTCTATTTAGGCTATGTAATGTACAGTTGTGTGTCCGTGGGTGTGCTTTTAACCTAAAAAAAAACATGGTATATGTGACAAATGAAAACTTTGATTCTGAGAAGAGTTGAGAGTGTATGCATATAGTGACATATTGCAGTATACACAGTGATTTCTATCGCTTATGCCCCACTTCACTTCCCAGCATGTGCTCTTCACTCATACAGAACCCAGGCACTCATATGCATGTAGGACTGGGCTCGATACAGATGTATGGCCCTGGATCAAGCTCAACATTAACCCGGCAGGGAACGAGACTCTCCACTGAAGTCTGGAATCTTGCTCCTTTAAAGGTACAATATGTAATTTTCGCCGCTGGAGGGCGCGTATTAAAAATAAACAAATAGACAAAGGCATAGTTTAAAGACGTTGTGACTGAGTGTGGAATCATGGGAGTTGTCGTCTTCATCCCC